GGCGTGGGAGGTTGTGTCCCCGCGCGGCCAGCCGGCGTGTGTGGCCCCGGGAAGGCAGCTCCCTCCCTCCCGCCCCGCTGATGGCTTCCAGATGACAGCTCCCAGCAGAGAAGCCCCCGTCCCACCCCAAGCCACAGCTCCTGCCTGCTTCCTGCCGCCGCCTCCTCGCCCCCTGCGCCCTCGCCCCGCAGATGGGCCGGGAAATGCCTCCCAGAGTCGGCAACGCCGCCGGCAGCAAGTGGAGACGGCGGCGGGGAGAGCTGCGGCACCAGCCCCCCGAGCAAAGCCCACCGCTGTGGGGGTCCAGCTTCTTCACCCACACCCCGCTTCTTCCCCGAGACAGCCCAGGACACAGGGCGACCGAATCTTGGCAAGTGTTTTGGATCGTGGGGACGGCAAGCCTGCTGGGCAGTGGCCAGCACTGGCAACTAATAAGCCGAGCACAGGAGCAATAGCTGGCTATTACACCAAACCAACGCGACCGGCAGCCCCTGCCACACCGCCAGCCATTTCGCCTCCCTGCTGCTGCCAGCAGCAGCTCTCCCCGGGGTGCACGCAAGCACCCAGCACCCACTGGCTGCAAGTCAGGCTGCCGGCGCCGGGGATGCTGCGAGGCACCAAAGACTAAACACAAGGGCCGAGCTGCCGGCGCGAGGCGAGATAAGACGGGCTTCGGCCTCCCGCCCAGGTACCCAGCGTCTCCCCAGAGACGGGGAGACGGGACCGTCCCACCCAGCGCCTTGCCAACACCAGGCTGGAAAGCAAAGCCTGGCGTCCTGCCCTCCCGGCGAGGCCATGGAAGAACCACGGAGGTTTGGGAGCCCAGGGGTCTAAGCGGCAAAGCCAAGCCCTGCTCGCAGCACCGCCATGTGTCCAGGCAGTGCCCGGAGGCTCCCAGGCCACCCATTGCCTGTTGCAACCAGGGAACGCACCACAACTCCTCCGAGATGCATGGGGACAGGGAAAGATCCCAGTTCATCCTGGAGGGACGGGAAGGATCCCAGCTCAGCCCAGGGGGATGGGGAAGGATCACAGCTCAGCCCAGGGGGACAGGGAAGGATCCCAGCTCAGCCCAATGGGATGAAGAAGGATCCCAGCTCAGCCCAGGGGCATGGGGAAGAATCCCAGCACATCCCAGGGGGACGGGGAAGGATCCCAGCTCATCCAAACAGGATGGGGAAAGATCCCAGTTCAGCATGGAGGGACGGGAAGGATCCCAGCTCAGCCCAGGGGGATGGGGAAGGACCACAGCTCAGCCCAGGAGAACGGGGAAGGATCCCAGCTCAGCCCAATGGGATGAAGAA